TGTGAATGTTGCACCTATGCTGCTGGTTGTTGCCACTTTCGTCATTGCTAGATCCTAGGCTTTCAGTGCATTTCACTTTCTGATATGCTACAGCTGATGACAGCCAAGAATTCTGTTTTTAACTTTTTGTGGATTTTTATTTGTTTTGTTTTCACTTTATCGACTTGCTATTGTTTCTCAGAAGAATTTATTTTCTTATTATCTAAACCGTTTCTTGTTCTACCCGTAGAAAAACCCTCATTCATTTGCACCCAAATGACTGAAGCTTTGAGAATATATATGCAAATGCCCCTACGCTTTGCCTTTTTTTTTTCTGTTTCCCTTTTCTCTTTCGCATGTCACATCCCTCCCTGCCTCCCCTGCCTTGATTGCCGTCTTCCCTTTCCCCGATGGTTCTGGTCTCCCTCCATTTATCGAGTTTTATCACAACTTTTATGCACTTTTATGAAGTTTTATCCCCTTTTCTCAGTCTTTTGCCTCAGTCAGATCTGCTACCTCTTTTATCACTGCCTCACGAGAAGACTACCTACCTTGTTTATGACATGATGCAGGTCAAATGGTGTCGAAATCGGTTTACACCGTTTCTGGTCATAGATCCTGAGGTAAGCTACTGCATCCCTTTTTTTTTTTTTTTTTTTTTTCGGAGTCCAATTTCCATGACTCTATACTTGCATGATCTCAAACAATCTTTTTGGCAGCTAAACTTAGCGCATTTCCCCTTTGTAGGAATTTGAAGAAATCACTCTGCCACTGTCAGAATGTACGTGGACAGCTATGACAGCCAGGGGCCCAGCAAGTTGCTACGGGTACATTCTAAGCAGCAGCAGCAGCAGAAGAAGAAGAAGATTAGTGAAGGGGATCCATAACAAGGAGAAGAGAAAAAAGATGAGCTTAAGAAGGAAGAGAATGTGTGTGTGCTGTCTCTTATACACATCTAGATGTGTATAAGAGACAGCTGATGGATACAACAATATTAGGGGCTTACCCTCTTTTTTTCTGTCTTTTTTCCCCATAAGAGTGCAACATGAGCATACATACATGAAACCAACG